GTAGTAGTAGTAGTAGTAGTAGTAGTAGTAGTAGTAGTAGTAGTAGTAGTTAGTAGTAGTAGTAGTAGTAGTAGCAATAGTAGTAGGAGTAGTAGTAGTTGTTGTAGTAGTGGTGGTAGTAGTAGTAGTAGTAATAGAGTTGTAGTGTAGTAGTAGTAGCAGCAGTAGTAGTAGTAGTACTAGTAGTGGTAGTGGTGGTGGTGGTAGTAGTAGTAGTAGGTAGTAGTAGGTAGTAGTAGTTAGTCGTAGTTAGTAGTAGTAGTAGAAGTAGTAGTAGTAGTAGTAGTGGTAGTGGTGGTGGGGGTGGTGGTGGTGGTGGTAGTGGTAACAGCAGAGACAAAACTCAAAATCACAGTTTCGGGTGGTCGTGGGGCTGTTTTTTGTTCTTTGAAAAGCAAAAGCGCAGTTTCGCAGCCCAAAGCTGTGTTTTCGCCTTTCAAACAACAAAAACAGCCCCACAACCACCCGAAAGTGTGATTTTGCTTTTCTCTACTCGACGGTTGCTCGGTGGTACTGGTAGTGGTAGTGGTAGTAGTAGTAGTAGTAGTAGTCAGTGGTAATAGTAGTCTTAGTAGTGGTACTAATTAGTTGTCGTTGCAGCTATTCTTACTTTGTGCTATCCAATGCCCTTAAATCGTCCTAACCCACCTCGTGCCTGACCTCGTAATTCGTGCCTGTTCACCTCGTTACCTTGGCTGGGGTCGCTCTAATTTGCACAGGTCTGGTGGGGGTTGCCGGCGATGGGCGCTCGAGCGCCCATTCATGGTGGATTCGCTCTGGGAAAAAGGGCCCGGAAATGCCCATTGCCGGCTTTTTTGGGAAACATGCCCGGAACAACTCGGATTTTCTTGCACTTGACCTCATTGCCATCGAGCATGCTGCCGGATTGGGGAATTAATTAGTCAGACAGGTTCGAGCATTGAGATCCAAACACAACTCGGACCATAAATGACCACAAGACCTTTATAGAGCTTTTCGTCACATGCATATCCCCTCCCCGCAACATAGACTTCCCCACGGTGGATTTCCAACATATTCACTTCCTTCAGCTACGCAGCTACTAGATGCTACTAGTAACAAGGCCAGCGCTACTAGTAACAAGGGAGTTACTACTAGTAGCTACATAGAAGCTTCTAGGTTGAAGGCCATCGTTACTAGTGACAAGGGAGTTACTACTAGTAGCTTCATCGTTACTAGTAGCAAGGACCCTAAAGACCAACGTCTCGATCGTGGAAGCCCAGGGCGCCCAGAGCTGCAATCGAAGAGAGCCGAGGTCGTGGGCGGAGGACAGCCACGCTTCATCGAGTCCTAACGAACAATCGCTCAACACATGAGGTCTACCCGGTTGCTGCAAGCACCTAGGGGGTAAGTCAATGGTGGTGTCAGACATTATCCAAGTTTTGTTGCAGACATGATCCATCATGCAAAGACCCACCCTTGATAGAGTCAGTCATTTCTTGGATCTCTTTGCCGTAACCTCATCCTCATCCCGACTTGCCAGTCTCTTCAACGGGGTTAGTTAGAGGGGCGACTCCGTAAAGCCAAGGACTGTGTCGAGCAAAGCCACCAAGTGGATGTATGAGTCCGATACAAGTGGAATGGGCTTCTAACCAAACCAAACCAATCATACAACCAATCATACCTGGATCTTCCAACGACATGTCAATGTTCTGCAATTTGTTTTGTTTTTTTTTTCATTGGATGCACATGCAGAAATTGGTCACCGTTGGAAGATCCCATCATATCAAGCCACCAAATCCGCTCTACTCTCCCCTTGTTCGAAATAAAACGAGCGGCACAGCACCAGGCTTGCTTGGAGGAAGACCACAAATCTCTCCAGCTTTCGTAGCCATCGTTGCCTCGCTGATCTTACGGAGCCCGAAGCCCGGAATGGGCAGCTACGAAGCCCGGAAGAGCAAGTTATTGGACACCACATCGATGACATGGATGGAAGCATCTCTGGTCTTTCAACATCTCTGAATTTGGAAATAACCTTCTCCTGTTCACTGGAAAACATCATATGGTTGCATGATGTTGCATGCATGCTCAGGATAATTTGATGCCATCCGAACCCCCAATTGAGATGACGAAAGGCCATCCAAACAAATCACAGTAGCACTGGAGGAAATGCGCGTCTTCTGTTCCGAATTTGTGGAGATTGGACAGTGAAACCAAGAATTCAAATGTAGTTCGCAACGTTGAACACCAAGTATACAGTATATTAATTATATATTAAAAATATTGATATACTGATGATAGACCAAGATAGGTTACTGAACTAACACCACAGGATAGTGTTCCGAGTGTTCGATAGACTGATAGACCTGCGACTGCGCCTGAGTGAGCTACTCTGTGTGTGCCAAACTCGATACTCGCAGGCCGAGCATCAGTCATAGGGATCGCAGGCTTTCTTGCTGTGAACGCAGCACCATCTCTTCTTCCGTGTGCTCCAACCCCTCGCGGCTGCGGAAAAAGCGCGGATCTGCGGCGGTTCACCAAACCGGTGAACCGCAAAAATCACAGCCCATTGAAAGGGAGGGTTTCATCATCTACACGTCTATACACTGACAAGGCCATCATCCAATTTCTGGAAAGAACAACACATGCAGAGGCCATCGGCGGCGAAACTGGGCCAAACCGCTGGGCCATTGCTTGGTGGGTCATGGCACTGGGACAAACCGCTGGTTTCTTCTCAACATGAACAGAATAGACATGAATACCGGGTCAAACCCCATATGTCTGGCTTTTTGGAATCCTGAAGCCTGCTGAACCTATGCTTGGCATCCGATGTCTAGCCTAGCTCATACCTATGTAAAACTCTTAGTTGCTTCGGTCAAGTCTATTCAACGGTGGGCCAGGAAGCCTTCACATCTTTTCACACCACCGTTCCCCACGCCGAGGCTCCTCTCCCAGCGCGCCCAACCGGCATCGCAGTCGTAGGGCACCGTGGTCTCCTGCGACCCCGTCGACCGCCCGCCCGACTGCGCCCGACGCCCGACGCGGGGGGAAGAGTTGGGGAGGACGAGTTCCGACGTTGGAAGAACAGAAATGAAACCACCAGGGTCACGTTCGACGGGGTGGCGTTGAGTCCCTATACTAAGTGAGTGGATGTGGAGTAGCTGGGCACCCCGACTACCTCCATGGATCACACCCCGACATGTGACTGCAGGCATGTCTCTTTCTGGAATGAGTCCCAGACACGACCCGTCGGGGACTGCCAGTCCGGACGGCCGATCAGGCCGGCCAGGGGTGGTGGACTGGGGGGTCAATGAAACCACCAGGGGTCACGTTCGACGGGGTGGCGTGACTCGTCCCATCTAGTGGGCCGTGGAGGTGGAGTAGCTGGGCACCCCGACTTCATCCATGGATAGCTCGCACCCCGACATGTGACTGGAGGCATGTCTCTTTCTGGAAGGAGTAATGTCATGTAATGTCTTCGTTTTCCTTCACGTGAGAAATAAAACATCACTACGACATATACTATAATTATTCATGTTCTGGTCTGTTTAAGGGATGTCCTGACCCGGTTTTTGCGCATCACTGGGACTGGATGACATAGGATGACACTACTCCTTGGTGAAACACACATGATTCATGCATGGCATCGGAGCAGGGAAAGGGAACACGAGTTTCATCTACCAGTCATTAGTGCTCTGTCAGTTTTCGGTGCTTTATCGCTCGAACAAAATCTGGGCTCGGTCATCAGTTGAAAGGAGGCAACAAAAGCCCTAAAACCTGAAAGGTCCTCTCAGAACCCCCAAAAGGATCCCCACGTTATAGATGTAGAACCTTCAACCGCGCATCATCCGGAAGTTTAACTATCCCCTACAAGTCAAAGACCTCATTTTACTGGAGATGGTGATACAAAACCAATACTTAAGGAGGTAAAAGACCAGGTTTTACTGGGTCAGACTGGACTTGTAGGGATCTGTTCAACTATCAAAGGCCCCGGACCTTTTTGAGGCCTGTCTCGTGCTGCGACGGCGTCTCGTGCTGCGACGCGAAAAGTGCGCGATGCGCTGCCGCCGCTCCTGGTGCGGACAACCCTTGGCAAAGCGATCGCAACACCAGTGCTTTTTGGCATCGGACCAGCCGGTCTTCCACTTGGCCAAGCCAGCATAGCCTCAGTGCGAGGATGATGTGGATTTCGGGATGGGATGAGGGAGGAGCTGGTGGGGTCGGCAAGGAGACAGTTTGTTTCAGAAAGAAGTCTAGACCGCCGAATCCACTCACATCACCTTCTTTCAACTACACAAATCGCCCAGACTTGGGCAAACCAGCTCTTTGCATTACGGATTGGGGTGCCAGCATCGGCCCAGAATGGATCGTCCACAAACCGCCCGTCCGCCCTCGCTGCTCCAAGCCGCAGTCATACGGCAAGGTGGTTTGCATGGTGGTGCCGCAGCCCCTCTGAAAGTGGTGACAACACCAGCCCTGGCAGCGGCCCGCACGCTGCAAGAACACGCGGAACCGCATGGCGTCGTCGGGCAGAACGGCTCGCGCGTCGCGCGGCTCCCATAACGCTCCCTTCCAAATTCTTTCGCATGCTTCCATGATCTGAAAGAAACATCTCCAATCCGCGCCGTTTTCGCATCAGACGACATCTGCTCGCTTTGATTTCCAGGCTGATCTCGGCCACCTGAAAAAGGCCACTCAACACCACGAGTTCGGCCGATGTCGGCCTTCTTCAGGGTGGACCACGCCAGATGGGCTTCGCCTCGTTCGTGGTGGCGAAGGGGCGAAGGATTGGTGGTTCGACAGTCGCTCAAAGGAATGAGAAAGGATATACCCTAGGCAGTCGCTCAAACACGTGTTCTTGAATGCGCTTATATCTAGAGCGTGAGAAGAAGCAGCATGCTAAGGCTGCTAAGATACACCCATAGGATCCCAACCCATAGATTGGCACAGGAACCATCGATTTCTACCAGCACATCAAAAAAAGGGGGGTCACCAGCACATGTGTGGCCCCCTGTGTGGCGATGTAGGGATCCTTTACGTCCTTTACGACACCCCCTACGATCCATCCAGGTCTGCAAAGCACATAGCTATGACGTAAGGATATTGGAGACTGCAACATCAGGTCAACCATGGTCAACCATCCCTTTAAATGGTCTTTGAAGATCTTTGAAGGCTAGGGCATGGGATGGCACGGCTCCTTGCTTGACATTTCTTAGTTGGACTCCTTTTTTCAGCTCGATTCGCCAGTGAAGCTGATAGTCGCGCCTGCTGTGACCAATCCCAGCAAGAGCAATTACCGTGTGCGGGGTTTTCGAGAGACACGCCTTTGTGCTTCGTCACTGACTCATATATTAATACATATTAATACGCACGGGGTATTATTGGGTTTCCCTTAGTTGCCTATCACTCATACACACAGTTCTTCCAAAACCTTAAGTGCTTTTCACATCATCTTTGCTCCCGACCCGTCCCGACCGGCCCCACGCACGACCCCGGTAGCTCCGCGGGGAAGCTCCGCGCACGCACATCACCGCCGGCCGGGTGGCTGAAGCCGGCGAAGCAATCGAAGGGCAAGGAGGTGGTGTGGACGCATCCCACCCGGTGATGTTGACAACAGAACTGCTGCTTCAAAAGCGACCACTTCTCCTGGAGCGTGTGGAGATCTGTCTCTGATTGCCTTGGGCCTGTCGCTGCCTTCGGCCCTTCCCATCCCCCGTGGGTCACCGGTCGTCCTCCCACTCGGTGGCGCCCTCGGAGCAGTCGTACTCCTCGGTGGTGGTCTGCGGACCTGGCCGTGGCGGACTGGTGTAGGTAGCTGACGCGAACAGAAGAGCGACGTTCAGAGGAAACCGAGGAAGAAAGAAAGATGATAATATGATGACATGACATGACACAGGTTTCTGGGTTTCTGATGTTCATGAGATGGACACCGCGGAAGCCGCCGCGGATGTTTTGAAGCCCCTGAGGTCGTGACATCCATGGCCGTGATGCGTGCAGCACCAGAGCTTCTTCTGATGAGACCACCCGGCCTGGTCGTCCGTCCGGCGGTCCGTCGCATCATCCGTCCGGCACAAGTAGGCGTACGCGTTGGTAGCATGCAGTCACTATAGTAGGAAGGAACACTCTGGTTGAGGTTTGGTGCAATGAGATCGGAGTAACTGCTGCGAGTCGTATCAAGTTCAGTCATGCGAGTCGTATCCCTTGACCACCTGCCATCAGTGGAACAAACCTATGGGTCTCCTGGTGATCACCTGTGTTCATGCCGCTGTCCTTCAGCAAACTGAACTTCTGGGACTTTCAGAAGTTCACTCACAAGTAAGACCGACCCACGACCGGAAGAAATGACATCACCATCTCGAGTCTTATATATACCGGCATATGCCCCCTGCATCCATGTAGGGCTCAAAACATTTCTTCATGGCAGTCTGATTCACCCAGTTACTGGAAACGACCCATGTATAGATCAACCATGATCTTTTGCGGAGGGGTGACGCTTTCCTTGCCCGTATAGGACTTCCCATCACTTTTGCGGAGAACGGCCGACAGCCTGCCAATCTTTGAGGCCCGCATGGCAGTCGAAAGCTTCTGGCGTGGTGGTCGAAAGGCAACCACCTCGAAAAGCGCCAAATTTAGGACCCCTCCCTTGGCGAAGCCAACAAAGAGGAGTCCTGGACATCTGGGAGATTCGTCCAAGACACTTTTGAAGAACAAATTGTCCAAGAAAATTTTGAACAAGAGATTTCCCCCAACCCTGCACTATTCAGGGCTATTCTGTTTGTTTTGACCTGGGGGATCATGCCAGATCAACAACCGAACCCATTAGATTAGATGGACATGGCTTGGTTCGTTGTTGAAGTTTCCCTAGGTGGAGTGGTCTTTTGGGCAGCAGCTATCCATCATCATTCCATGATCAGCAAAGGAACCCCCAATGACGCTCAAATCAAATACCCAAATGGATTGTGGACACCAAAGGAATGACGAATCGCAGGGGGTGGGAACCACACAGTCCTGGAGCCCCTGGGGTCCCTGGAGTCCTCATGTGTTGCTGCTTCGCACACGGGTGCCGTGGTCCTTCGGTCCAGCCACGATGGATCTCTAGCCGGGACGATGCCATGGTGCCGGGGTGATCACCATCAAACCCAGCGAAGAAACCAAGCCCTCTGTGTTTTGAGGGCCCGGAGTCGGGTGGGAAACCAGCGCCGACACGACGAAGAACCCGTACGTCCCAACGGATGTCCCGCTGGGCGCCCGGACGCTGATGGGTACTACAGCAGTAGTGCATCTTGTCCAAAGACCAGCCCAACTGAGTGAGACCCAACGGCGGCACCCGAAGCGGCACCCGAAGCGGTCCAGCGCGTCCCGTGAGAACCGGCGGTCCGAAACGTCCGACCGAAACCGTCGCGAAGCCCAGCAAGCTGTGCTTGTGGGGCCTCTGTTAGAACAAGCCGGACAGTCTGCTGAAGATCCGCAGTAAACGACCGAAACTGCTTGTGATCAAAAGAACCCCCCCCCGGCTTGTATGCCATGTGACACACATCGATGGAGAGAAGGTGTGACACCACGACTGACACCACAGCTGTTGTGCCAAACTTCCGTACCCGTTATACTGTATATCCCGGCCAATTCATACCCTGTGGCTTCCGTTTCCCTTTTTGCTGGTCTATTCCTGGCACTATCCCTGGCCCTGTACACCTCCATACCACCTCTTGGAGTTGAGCGAGCTCGGTGGAGCGTCAGACTGGGAGACAGACCAGCGGATCCGCAGGGAACATGGAGACCTTCCTCGAGTCGTTTTGAATCTGCAGGTTTTTGCTTGCTGGAGGTTTTGGTTGCTGGAGGTTTTTGGACCCCACACCCAAATGACCGCGTTCCTCCTCTACCTCCAGCTTGACAGCTTGGTCCACCGGTGCACCTCACTGCTAAAAAGCGGTCCTCGACCCGCAACAGCTGCTTTGACCGTGATCCTTCTTTCCGGGGCCGAGCCGGGGGACTAAGAAGGCAAGTACTCCTGGGTATCTCCAGTTGCATTTGCACTGCCCAGGGCCCGCCCAGGACATCATTTTCACCGGACCCGACATGACGAAACGTCCCCGGGCCCCGGTCATCGCGACCGACGGCCGGGATCGGGGCCTTCCAGTTCTCGTAGCCCGCGTCGCAGTCCATGTCCACGCCGCCGCCCAGGGACTCGCAGCCCACCTTGAACTCCTGAAAAGCGTACAGCCAAGAGCGGTCGGAGTGTTTTTTTTTTTAATGCATGCTTTAGAGGCAGATTATCATGCAGATTGTCGCCTATGATTGTAAAGAACTTACTCATTGAGAATCGTTTAAGTTTACCGAATAGGACACACCCAATGCATTCCCTTGTTTGTTCAATCGGTTTTCAAACCTCCTGACACCCGCGCGGGGACGAACGTCGCGCTCCTGGCAGCACCACTGCTTCTTCTGGTCGGACCAGCCCGACTTCCACCGCTTCACACCTGCGCGGAGGGTCTGCGAAGCATCCCCGGTCTGCGGAGAAGTGCGGAGCGGGTCTGGAGCTGGACATGAGACTTGAACACGGCACAATTGGGTTTGGCACATCTTCTAGCATGCAGTCGAGGGTCCCAACTCATGAATTTCATTAGTGGATCTTTCTGCTCATAAACTGACTGACTATGACCATGTGCATCAAAGGCGTCTTCGAGCTGACCACAGCGAACTCCTGTGAGCGCCCCGCACCCTGCCCTGCCCTTTCCCACACACGTCTGCCTGCGGTACAGTCGAAGGGGACCGTGGTCATGATCTCCCCACAGCCCAAGCGGAAGCGCGAGCAGCAATAGGCCTCGCGACTTGGCGCCCGGTCGCACGATGGATTTCGGAGGATGGCCCATCTGGCGCGCGTCGGAGACCTCATCCAGCTTTCCGCCGCCCCAAAAAATCAGCGAGAGTGGCGCGCACATGTTTGGGAGGCACTCACATCATCTGCGTCCTCATCATGTCAAGGTTCGGTGCTAGCTGCTCGTGTTTTATCGTTTTTTTGGGAGGTTCTCATCATTCTCCGCACTTTTGATCACCCAAGTGGCACGACTATATAGACTATAATAATTATAGACGACTAAAGAAAGAAGTACTTACTCCCAAAGTCCCTCTGCGATGGTCTGCGGGGCTCGAGGGGCAGGGTGCAACCAGTGGGTACGAACAAAACATTGCGTACCAACGATCTGAAACACGATTAGGACCTCCAATTTCCGGGGTGTCTATTAATACAAGTAGTCAGTCCCCTGGAGAGGTTCAGGGGTAACCAACCACCCCCACCATGGGTCCTATTTTCACCTCGCGACCGCTCGTTCTTCACTCTTCGGACCCTACGGCCCTACGGTCTTCGCTGAGTCCGGCGAGACGGCGGGAGCGTCGCCGGTGCGTCGCCTGCTGCGGCTGAGACCAAGTCGATTGCAGGCTGCTTTGACAGTCAAAGATCCTGGCGGGCAGCTCCAAATGAACGGCACGTCGGACGAGTCATGAAGACTTTCTGGACCAAATCCGAGATGAGACTTCTGAGGTGCAGAATGGGTGCGCGAGACGTCACATCGCCTCTCCCGCCACGACCAGTTTTTCTACGTCCCAAAACCTGTAAACTTGTTCTTCTGGTGAGGAGGTATAGTGACCCGGAATTCTTGGAGTCTTCTCAAACGTATATAGCTATAAGTTTAAGCCTAAGCATCATATTTTTCAAACATTCTATAGTGCATGAATGGGGCGTTTGCTGGCGTTTGCGCTTTCCAGATATTATGAAGGCAATCTCACTTCCACAGTGGTCTTCCATGAAACCACATCACTTCGCTCACATCCTTCACTTGTTGATTAGGCCAAGTACTGGGACCAGTTAGACTCCACCCTCGCGGACGCGCGCTCGCGGGGACGCGTGGCGCTCGGCACCTGGGCGTCTCTGTGTGATGCGGCAAGCAGCCTTTGCGTTCGTGGGCGCAGCACCACTTCTTCTTTTCCAAGGACCACCTTACTTGCGGGGTCGTCATGGTGTCAACTTCGACGTGGCGTCCACATGGTGGGGAGCTAGGGGTGTTCTTGGTTGTACGCGGAAGTGAAGTGTGGAAGGATCTGGCTCAAACGGGTGGGATGTGGTGTGGAAAACACGTGGAGATGATGCTTTCGTGTTACATTCTTTTCACATACTGCGAAGGGTTTCTCGGATCATAGGGGAGTCTTTTGTGCCATGGCCAAGGGCACGTGACTTGAGGATGGGACCCTGTGACACACACACACACATACACAAACACACAAACGAGAGTGGTGTTTTCTGCTCCCCGTTTTGGCTTGGGCTCCTTCCTTCACTCCTTCCTTCACAAAACAGCCTCTTTGCTAAAAGGTTGGATGCCCAAGGCACGCTGTATGAAAGTTGTTCAGCGCGGCGTTGCAATCGAACTTACTCTCGGCAGTGGTGCCGCCAGTAGGGCCGGTGGGGCAGCCTGGCGAGCGTTGCCAGGATGGATTCGCCAATGGCCAATGTCAGTCCTGCAAATTCACTGCAATATGTATTGAACTTTGGAAAAGGCCGAAGCAAAGGCGATGCCGGCAATACTGGGCGTGACTCACAATGCGACTGGCAGGGTTTTGCGGCTGGGAGCCTTTGCTCCAAGTAGTTTGCGTGTTTGGGAGCTCACGTAGCTACTGAGTAACAAGTGCATCGCTACTAGTAGCAATTAGCTAGTATGGATATACGATCATCCAGGTACAGGTTGCGCTGTAAGGATCACCAGCTACAGACACTGCGGGCAAAAATGCCGTTGACCGGTTTTTGTCGGAATCTTTGGGCTGAAGTGGCATGCGTTGCTAATGCCCCAAGAAGCAACTCTACCTGAACCCTCCAACAGGTCTCCTCTAGTGGCTTTTGGAGACTTAAAAGTCGCGGGTGGTGACCTGTTGGAGGGTGCTGGTCTAGGAATCTCCTAACTAGTGACATTCCAGCACCACCCAAAGGGTGGTTTATAGACCCCCTGACTATCTATTTTCCATCTAACAACCCAAACTGGGTGGTGCTGGTTCTTACTGTTTGATTGTTCGTCCACCTCTTGAAACCACTCAGCGACGAAAACACGTCTTCAAGTGCCGCCTTCTCGTAACTTGCTTGAGGACAAAGCAGTTGACTCACCAATCTCGCTTTTTTGGAAGAACAAACCGCACCATCTTGGATACCGTTTCGGACGACTGCGATTTCAAGACCACAGTAAGACACTTCGGAGCCTTCACCTGCGTAACTGTTACATCAAAAAAGGACCAGTACAGTAAAAGGAAGCCCAAGTATAGATAGAAGTTCGTAGATCCCCACGTAGAGAATGTATTGGAAACTGTTTCCGTTTCACTATCTATTTGGGGGGGACGACCTTCCTTCTTCTAAAAAACTACGTTGGTTCTGCTGACCAGCGTCCACCACATCCTGGCCTTGGCCCGTCATGGCACAGCAGTACTTCTGTTTCTCCGCGCTCCATCCCTGACCACCGGCGGACTGACAGACAAAGGCGGGGAAGCAAGGACAGCGGGGAAACAAAAGTCGGTGCGCCGTGTGGTCAGTGAAGCCAAAACCCGGACACTCCATGTATGCCATATATGCCTACATTGACCCCCCCAAACCACCTCATATATGGCATACATGGAGTGTCTGGGAAATGGGTGCCAAGTTTCAAGTCTCTTTGAGATGTCCATGAACTTTTCAGTACAAAAGTTCAAAAAAAGGGATGTGGTGGTTCTCTAGATGGATTGCTGGCGGGGTTCAGCTTGGATATGATCATTTACCCAGTCATTCATTGTCTGAGCAGAGTCTATCAAAACGACGTCTCAACTCGCGATCTGACACATTGATTGCTTCGCCCCTGTGGTCTTCGTATGGATCGTCACTCACAGCCTAAACCAAGTAACTCACAAACCACCAATCCTTCCTGGGTCCAGCTGGATCCTCGTTCCTCCGCAGGACCACACGTCCACGTTCACAGGACGGCTCGGACGGCCCTCACACCCAGGCCTTCTGCCAGTTCCAGTATCCAGCCTGCCCAACCGGCCGGAGGTTTGAGGAATGAGTCCAGGACCCGTTGGAGGGGCGGTTTGGTTATGGGATGAGTTGGTGACCACACATGGCTCCAATGGTGACGTGTACTCGCAAGCACAACCAGTCACATCATATATCTCCTCCTTCGTGCCATCCAGACATGTGACTTGTTCTTCTATTCTTCCGCCACAACTCCTCTACCAGCACTCACCAAGGGGTCCTGAATGGAGGTAGTCGGGGTGCCTGAACGTCACATCCACGGCCCCTGGATGGGACGAACCAAACCACTCCGTCGAACGTGACTCCGCTCGTCAAGTGTTCCAACCTTCCACACCGAACGAGGAACCGGACCCTTGCACCCGCCTGGCAGTCATAGCCACCTGGAGCGACTGGGCCTGGGTTGGGCCGAGCGCTCGACCAGGCCGTGTCATGGACCACCGTGCCCCAAAGAAATACTACCTGTATACAAACATATTGTCACATATCTATCCTATCCTATCCTAGCCTATCTAAACTTGGAAAACACACACGCATAGGGAATCGGGAACATTTTTAGCCAAATCACCATTAAGCAAAATCAGGCCCTATCTGTCCTGCAGACGCCCCATGTCTCGCGGGTCCCGAAGACACCCAGCATCTGCAGCTGAAGACACTCCCCGCGTCTCCGAAGGGTTCTCGACATTTCGTCCCGTCTCGATGTCTCGTGGGTAGAAGGACTGTTCCAACTGCAGGGCGAATCGACTGTTCCAGCTGCTGGGGAATTCCTTCCGTGCCTGCCCTTTAGTGCCTCACTCGCTGTGCTGTGCCTCACATAGAAAAGTGGACACCTGGACGACCTTCTTGCATCTTCTTTCCATTTCTGTCACAGAGAAAACAAGATCATGGACTTACATGGCTATGGCGGCTATATATGACCCATGGCACCGGGAGACAAACGGCGGTTGACCCATCCAAATGAACGGACTTCCTTGAATCAGCAAGGTCACCACTCCAAGGCTTTGGACACCCCACATGCACTTGCTCTGTTCGCCCAGCTTCCCACGTCGTGGGCTTCGGCGAGGCACCGGCCGGTCCAATGCCGCCCGGGCCGTGCGGCAGCGACGGCAGGTTCAGGGGCAGGGAACCGTGGCGGTGATGGTGGATGATGAGCCACGTCCTGAGGACCACGTCGCGGAAGAAGGGGGGCCGCGCATCGCGGGCGGAGACCTCCCCAAAGGCCGGAGGAGTTCGTTCGGAAGAGTTCGGTGGGATGTGTCCGGGAATGGGTGAAAGGGGTCTGACCATGGCGAGACGTAGTACGCCTGTTTTTGGTTTTTGGTCCGTGTCAAGGTATGGTCTGACTGGACACGAAAGGGTGCCCAAACACTCGTTTTTACATTGCCATTGAACTACCCAGGACGATTCAAAAGTGTTTGACTCATGGCTGCCACTGAGAGTGTTGAACAAAGCTCTGAACTGAACCCAGAGGCACCACATAGCACCGCTCTGTTTGCAGCTTTGGGTGCCACAGAAGAGGTTACTCTGCCTTCTGTTTGGGTGACCACCCATCTGCACTACCTGGACGCCCAATCACCCCACCACGGGCGCCCGTGCAACAAGAGTGCCAAGCCCATCAAGACGAAACACAGGGCCTCGACCAGTCGGCGCGATTCGGCGCCCTGCGGCGGCTGCGAAGAACGCGCTGGTGCTCAGCACCAAAGGAGAACTGGCCGAGCGAGGCTTAAAAGAACAAAAGGACAAGCGCTTTCAGCCAAGCAAAGATAACAAATCAAAACATCACTCAGAGTCGGACGCAGTAGAGCGCCATGCCCCATTTGGAGCACCACTGTGGACGTTGTTCTACCTGCACATCGATCACATGGCGGGCTGTGGTGGTGGTGGGTGGCCTCTCGGCCAACATATCAGTGCCCAGAGATGCCCAGATGACCCAAGACAGCTTTGAGGCTTCGATAGATCCGATAGATTCATGTCATTTTGCATTGGGTTTTCTCATCACCTTCCACTTCCACAACAAAATACACACAGAAACCGTTGTTGTGGCCCAGTGCACTTTTCTAGCATAGAAGTCCTATAGAAGGCTCATGAAGGCTCCAGGTAAAGGGCGATGAAACTCCCCCAAAAGTGATCCCCTCAAGCCAGCCATGCCGCCCCGCAATTACATCGCACCAACACCACTTCAAGTCGGCCTCGTGCCTCCCTCCCTGCCCACCCGACAGGCCCGGTCTGACCCCGCTTTCCAACAAACCAAACAGCAACAACTCCACGTCCTCTTCCGCTCCAATCGTCCATCGTCTCCACCGAACTCGTCTCGAGACCTCGCCCTGTCCCCCCCCCGTCCCTCCTCCGCGTTGATCTTCCTCCGAGCTTGCGGCACCTGCGGGGCTCGCCGCAGGATTTTGTCTTCGGCGCGCTTAGGTGGGGTCGAGCTGAAGCAGCTGAGCGGTTGAAGTAGCCAAGATGGAGAAGAAACTGAGATTTTCGTTTTGAAAGCGATTGGAGATGGTCGCTTCCCTTAAATTTGTGAGTGTAACTTCTACAAACACCATCAAACAGCCATACCTCTTGCATCGTCTTACATCTGCTTCCAGGTTTAAGCCATACCTCGAACGCCTCGAACGCCTCGAACTTGTTTGGGGTCGACCACGAAGGACCGCCGACCCGAGTCGGTCAAAACTGGACGTGTCTTCTTCGCTCGGAACACGCGCCACCTACCCCCGTTCAGCTTCCGCACAGCGCTGGCCTCGGGAATGATGGTGACCTGGCGGCGCGCCCAAGCGCGGCCAAGCGCGTGGCGGCTTGGTTCCAGTGGCGGCTCGCTCCATTCCATTCCCAAGTGGCAATAAGGTGAGAAGTCCAATATGTCAATATGTAGATTGTAGATCGGATTCTGATTCCTGGCTTGTATTTTGCAGGGCTGTTCTTCGTGCCATGTGCTCAAAGATTTGGTTTCAGTTCCGTCAGATTTTGACCACACATGTCTATATATATCTTCAGCTGTGCTGAGACAACCGCATCTGTCAAGATCATTCAACCGCATTGGCATCCGGGAGCAGCCCGCAGCGCGAAGCCGAAGCCGCGCAGGCCAGGCCTGTTCGTAGGTCCCTCGACCTCTGCCCACGTACCTGACAAAGCCATACAAAACGGCTCCATGAGAACCTGTGAGGAATACGTAGTTCAAGCATAGCAAAGCCTCTCTGAGAATGGCCTCCAACCTACTCGCGAACAATGACACTGAGACCCAACCAGGTTTGCAACAAAAGCACGTCGAACCAAAGAGACATCCCTTAGTTTGATATTACTTTAAGACTTGTGCCATCCTAGCTGCAGTTTTGGATGCATTCTTGGGGATGACCACCTCTCTCCGGCACCTGCCGGCGCCCGTGTTTTCACCCACCACGCCACACAACCTGCGCCCGTTTCGCCGCTTCGCTCTGCACGCGATAGGGGCACTCGAATTGGCCCGTCTCTCGCTCGGCCACCTGCTCGAAGCAGACCTGTCGGGCTGGAGGAGCAGAGGATGGGCAGGGAGGGACCTTGGCAGTTGCATCAAGTATGTGAGGGGCTGCAAACTGTTGAATATTCCTGATGAATTTAGAGGGGTCTTGCCAACTCACTGTACAACAAGGGGGCCCTCACCTCTGGGCCACCCACGGCAGGGGTGGCCTTGTTGGAGAGTGGATGATGAGTGGCGCCCTTTGGCCACTTGTTGGTGACTGACATCTCACTCACAACGTGACAATCACGACGAGTCAAAGAAAAAAAACAGGCTGGTCTTAAGGTGCTGTTTTTGGGTGCTGATCGTCCAACGAAGGGCGCCTTTCGAGTTGGGGGGTGTATTTTGGGTTCATGCTGCTTTTTTGGGGGTAAATCATCCACCAGCTGGAACTGCGCCGGACACTCGGTGGAACCTCACCGATCGGATCGCCGCGGCGGAAGGAATCCCCCAGTTGGCGTCACCCCGTTCACCCGAACCGCACGGGGGCCCAGTGCTCCCACGTGGCGGCGCCACCGCCGGACCGAGCACGGACCGGGCCACGGACCGGGTCGTCCACGTCTGCGCAGACACCGGAGCGGTCCGTCCGAGACGTCGATCTGGGACGCCGACCGAGTTGCAGGCCATCGAGACGTCCAGGGGCGCATCTGACGGAGCGGGTCCGACCACCGGCGTCACAGCGGGTGGTCCTTTGGAAAGAAAAGGACTGCAGGGACTGGTGGGAGTGGGAGCATGCTTCGAAAGAGCGATGGCCTCCAACCTAAGAGGAGCTCAGCCTTTTCAGTCAATCTTCCGGCTGTGGCTCACGTTTCCTATCCTCGTGGGGGTCGGTATCCATGTGCTAGCGCCAGGTGTGGGGGCACCTCAAACGGATGGAGAACATGTCTTGAACACGGAGAGATTTGGATCTTCGGGCCTCAGGGGCGCCCCAAAACACGAATGTCTGGATGTCAAGAGTTGTATGTTTGCTTCGTCCAGCTGCTGGAGGTCCTGTCTCCGATCAGTGCGTCGCAGGCCGGCCATGCGCACTCATTGCAATGGCCGGTTCCCATGGGCCCCATGTCGCTGGGAGAGTCTTTGGAACATCATGGGGATCCGGTGTTTCCAATGTAGACTCTTGAGGTGCATAAAGCCTCCCCAGACATGGATTGAACAAACCCATTTATGTGGGGAAGTTATCAATCAAAGAGTCTACAATCTGCAGGATCTCCCCACAACTCCCACACTTCGTCGACGGATCAAAAATTAGGTCCCTAACCGCTGAGGCTTTCACTATGAACCTGCGAAGAATTGGATCCAGACACAAAACCATGTCAGTAACCATGTCTTCATTTATAGGAGACTCTTAATGCTTTATAGGAGACTCAAGTTGCCAGTGGTATGAAGAATGCTGATGTCTACAAGGTCTTTGGAGTTTATACCTATGTTTCGTTACGCCATGTTTTTTTTTGAAGACATGTCTTCGGTTCCGTCCGTTTCGTGATGACCCCCCTCCCCCCTGACCCCCCCCCTTCTTGGGTCGCCCGCCACACAGCGAAGCGCTTCGAACGCCTTGCGCCAAACTCACTCGAGCGCCGACCGAGCACCCCCGCCGCTGGAGCCCCACGGATTCCGCTTGGGACTGTTCCCAGCAGAAGCGGCCTCGCCGCGGTGCCGCGCCGCGGTCCCAGCAGGACGGGACGGAGGGTGCTCCACCATGAGAGAGAGCGGAACAACTGCCCAAGGCGGCAGCCAATAAAGAGTAGCAACATGGACATTTCAGGTGGACTGGTTCCAGGTCTGGTGGAAACCCAGATCCAGACTGGCTGGTTCACCACTTCTGGGCCGGAAACCCCCCACTAATTAGGGATCCTCAGCCTCAGTCTGGGACTCGGACGTGACTCCACGTCGACTCATGATCCCATCCCTTCACCCGAATCAAACGCCAGTCCTCCGTCCCGGTCAGAGCTCAAACCCGTCCGTGAACCGTTCCGGCGGGTTCGACCGGTCGCGGTGGTCGAACCGACCGGTCGGTCACGGTGTGGTTTGGTTCAAACGCATGGGGGACCACAAGGCAAGACCCAGCCGGGTTGGCCTCTGGAGTTTTGTCTCTTTTTGGGGACAGGAACATCTGCAATTCCCAGCCACAGGACTCAGACTGGCACACCATGCCGTGCTCAGCCTACGGCCTGACCCGCAGTCGCCGCAGTCAACCACCACCCCAATGTATGGATTCAAAAAATCCCGTCCTATGGAGTCGATCGGTTCGACCGATAGCGGTGGAGTCGATCCCGGTGCACGGTGCACCCCTCATCGAGGAAGCATATGCCCAAAACAGACAGCACGGGTGACGTCATTGACCTCAAACCTCCGGTGATCGGACCAAGTGGCGACCATCCCAGACACGACGCTCCATGGGACTGCCAGTCCGGACTGCCGCCCCAGAAAGACCCCCATGGCACCACCCCAACTGATCGGCAGTCCTATGGCAGTCCCATGTGTCGTGTCTGGGAATAGGATTTCAACAAATGAATTTAATATACGTTGTAACTTAAGATTCATTGAGTGTAAAACAATGTAAGACAGATCAAGAAACCACTTCGCAATCGCACCAGAAGTGGTACGTATCTGTCGATGAAAAAGACATCGACCCATAAAAAATAGAAGGTTGTGTTCTTCTCCTCTGCCAGCTGTCGATCTTCTAGGAATAAAGGAGCCACTGGGGTCCAGAGAGTGCAACCCCTTTGGCAGCCTGTAACGATCCCAAGCGGTACCAGTACGCAGCAAGCTCTGAATCTGCTGGACTTCCCAAGCCTTCCCAATACATCCGTGCCACAATGATCTGCGCGGAAGCATCACCTTGCTCCGCGGCCTTTTCGTACCAGTAGAAGGACCGATTGTAGTCCTCGGGAGCCCCTTTCCCTTCGAAATACATGGTGCCAGCGCTGAATTGAGCGTTGGCCAAGCCGTTCGTCGCAGCCAATAAGGTCCACTCCAACGCCCGCAGGTCGTCCTGAGGCGCGCCGTTGCCGTGGCTGAACATCATGCCCAACAAATGCTGCGCCACCGCGTCGCCGTCGCGCGCGCGCTGCGCATGCCACGGGGTGTGACTGCCGTGACAGGCCTCCAACGTCTCGGAGATCCAGAGGATCAAACCTTGGATCCCCGTGCCAGGTTTGCGGGTGAAGACCAGTTCCGGGCAAACAACCAGGACCTACCAGGACCGACACCAAGAGGTGTCTATAAATAGCTTAGAAGTTCAAACAAGGTTTAACCGTTTAACCAGTTCGGGACAATAACACATACCGACTGAAGTCCAGTTCGATGATATTCGGCGACCGACTGAAGACTGAAGTAAAGCAAATTCTCCTTTTCAGTCGGGTCAACGAGTTAGACCATTCTTTTGATAATAGTCTTTGACTCCAGGGCATACGGCATATATGTTTTAAAGGCCGCTCTGCCTGCCCCCCCTACCTAGAAACAATGGCCTCCAACCTAATAGCCATGGCCTCCAACCACAGGGAAATATGACACAATTCACCGGATTTAACTCCTCTTAAGCCAAACCAGGACACTGTAGCGACCGCCATGGAGGACCTCGATGCCGTGATTGAGCGTGAAATCATGGACCACAAGATCTCCCAGGCCCAAAGGCACAAAGCGCCGCGAATCCACATGCGCGGTGGGTTGCACGAAAAAGCCGCCGGTGTAGTTCTGAGGGGGGCTCAGTGGCAAAATGATGGTCGCATAGGCGGTGATGTCGAAGTGGGGGGGAACACGCATGCGTTCTTGCGGCAAATACCTGCGGACGAAGCCCGTGCACGAGACACAGGTTGGACAGTCGTAGGCCTTTTGGACTAAGGGCAAGGCCGCCTGTTCCAGCGCGATCACTGCGGATCGAAGCCCTTGGTCCAATGTATCCATGGTCGCCTTCTCCATGACGTACGTCTCATAGGCCGGCAGCCAATCGGCCTCATCCTCGTGGTCGTCCATCTGAAGTCGTTGCGCCTCTTCCAACGCACTCACCAGGAGATCTTCACTGAGACGTTGCGGAAGCACGAAGAAGGGCTTCGCCGTCGCTGAGACCTCGGCACCTTGCATGACCACCCCGGACACTCCCACAGACACTGGCTTCAGCTGCACATGAGACACTTCCAGACTCACCACCTGAAGAGAATTAAAGGCTTCACTGAATAAAAAGAGCCTCACCTGCCATAGCTGCAGCATCACTGCAGCATCACTTCACAGCAGCAATCTGCATCCAACGGATTGCCCCCCATCCATCGTCGCTCCACGGCCAAGAAGCGAGACGACGGGCGAGTGGCTGCAAAACAGCTCCTCCCTGAAAGAGACGAGTCATGGAAGTGGATGGGAAAATGCTCCCCCCCGTGGAAGAACCATGCTCCTCACAGGGTTCACAGGGTTCTCTACTTCTCACTCTACTTCTCGTCTTTGTTCCACCCAAAAGGGTGATGACATGGTATCTTAAATGTATATCTCGTCTTTCTCCAGCTGGAGTTTCCCCCCCCCCCCCCAACCCCCGCCCCCAAAGCCGGCCCCAAACCCGGCACCCCAAACCCGGCACCCGCCGGTCCCCGGTCTCCGTCGGTCTCCGTCGGTCTCCGTCGGTCCGGCACCTCTTCGGCGGGCGGCATCACCTGGGGGTCCGACGCCCGAGACGGACCGAAGCTGTTTGGAGCATCGATGGGGAAACACCTGAGCAGAGCGGTGAAAGAACTCCGTCACCATGTAAAACCTGCTGTGAAAAAGAGGTTCGTTCATTTTCTGGTGGTTGGTAAGACCCCGCTTTTGGCACAACCTGTTCACCGGTGACCATTGCGTGTTTAGCTGCTAGCTGTTGCCCTGGTTTGCCTGACAAAGAACCCAATTCACTTGGTTCATTGCTGAGACTCCACACGAGCCATGAAAAACACAGGTGTACATTGCCCAGACACTCCATGGGACTGGCATATTTACATACATTGGGGTGGTTGAAGTCGGGGTCAATGGGGCGGCATAGAGCGTCTGGGTTGGCTCTATCCCATTGATGGTTGTTTACCGACTGGTTACCGTCAAGCTTTGGACGGTCGACCCGAGGTGTGCACGGTGTACCCGCTTTTCAGTGCACGAACAGCACAGGGTTTGAAACCATGAGAGACGAAGTCGAAGCAACAGCAGTTGGAACACGGCTGCGCTAAGGGCCCAGCTTCATCGAAGGGCGACAACTGCAGGACACGGTGTACAAAGTTGCAGGGACGGGGCAATTTGTTTGCCAGAACTCAGGAGGTTTGTTCCACTTTTTGCAAAAATTGTAGAACACTTCGTGAAAAAGGTCTTTGCTCGTATGAGAGGTTGAAGACATTTGTTTTTTGGGGGGTGGGGGTATGAAGGCTTTTCCTGGGCTTTTGGCTGGGGTTTCTATAGTGGTGCTTTGCATTTTGTGTTCCCTTTTGATCTGTTTTGACATGTTCTGTTCAGTCGTCTGGGCTTGTTCGTTCAGTTTTCACTCGTCTTGTCCGCAGAGCCAAGTCGATAGCAGAACCAACGTCCCCCGGCTCCAGAGCAGAGAGACTGAGTCGACATTAAAACTCACACCTTTCAAGACGCAGTCCAACATGTCAGCTGAGTTGCATGTGTATTTATAAGGAGCAAACTTGCCAGTGCAAAGAGAACAGTGACACATTGCCTCCCCCCAAAAAATGACATTATGTGTGATCAAACATCCGGTCCAAGCCGAAGGAGGCCCGTGAGAAGCAATCCGTCCACCCGAAGAATCCGAATGGGCTGTGCATGGCAGGGGTCGGACCCGACCTCCTCCCAGGGGTCCGGGGCCTCAAAGTGAGGGCCTGAATTTGTTGGGACAGGAAGAATTATACTTACTCCCCAGGGCAGGACGAACTCAAACGGCCCAAGCCTGGAGCTCCCACCATGGTAGCTTGACCTCCCTGGTAAGCCTATCGTACTTAGTATAGTAGTAACTACTAGTATAGTATTCATTAACTTTTAGTAATCAACCAGACCAGAACCAGCACCACCCAAAGGGTGATTATAATATGAAAAATACATCTTCAGGGGGTTGGCCTCAACAACTCTCTGTAGTATGTAGTCAAAGGTCAACAGCATTTATTGTCCATAGTTCAACCCCTCCTGGTCAGGTATGGCAAATTGATCTATATTGAAAGGTTGCTCCCTTGCACAACCACAATGTCTGCATCTGGGGGCGCCTGAAAAAATTGGCCACAGTCCAAAAGTCCAAAGAACAACCAAGCCAACAAAAGGAACAAGAAGACAATTATGTGCGCTTGGCTTTGAAGAGAAAAAAGTGCTTGCAAGCTTAAAAGTGCTACGCGAGGCCACTCTACAAGTGAAATGACAGCACCCACGCGACATGACCATGACATGACCTGTGATTTTGGACTGTGCCAAGCTCCGCTAAACCAAACTGTAAAGTCTTTCCTTAAGTCTGACTGGCTTTTCCTGTTTTTGACAGCCCAGCGGGCCTAGCACTGAGGCAAGCCACCTGAGGAAAAACCTGCCTGCGTAGCAGTGAAGTCGTTTCTGCCATGAGCTGCCATAAAGAATGGCCAGTCAAATGGCCAATCAAAAGTTATGAGTTATGAGTTTACTTGATTTGCCGAAAAGTGCCATGACGATCGCCGGTCGCTCAGCGATCGGAAAACCCTTGAGACCCAACAGCTCAGCCGGAGAACGGCAAAACAAACACTGCAAGATTACTTTAGGTACGACAAAACCCTTCAAACTGTGAGTTAAGTCCAAGCCAACTTTGGATGGTGCTGGTAGTTAACACGAGTTAGTTCATCTTTTGGGGGGTCAACGAAAGTTGCCCCCGGCGCATGCCTGTGCGACCACGAAGCCGCCGTTCGTTCGCTCCGTTCGCTCCGTTTGGGCGGTCGCGGCGCTGCAACGGTGCGGCGAAACGCAGGCCGAAGCCTTTCGCCCTCTGCAGGCGACCGAGCTCGGGGAAATCGGGGCACACCGGTGGAACTGAGAGACAGGTCTCTCCTCAGTTCGCAGACGGCGCTCCTTGCATGGCTGCTGGCAATTAAGGTTTTTCAGCTCATCTACTAAGAGCGGATGCTGTTCGAAACACTCAGAGCTCTTCCAAAATCCTTCGTGAATTGATATCCCCCTCGGAGCGCAGCTGTTGGTGGATCCTCATCCGATCTGATCATGACGTTGGGCCAGTCAAACAGCTGACTGACCGTTGGGTTGAGGATTTGGGGTTAAGCAATGCTTTGCTGGGTGACAGCTAGGCTTCCCCATCGCCATGGTTTCGCCCTTCTCCATCGATCAGGTGTGGAGAGGCCACCCCATGTACAACCCGGTTCTGTGCGTCAGGCCACTCGTCTCAACCAAACGAGCCATCCAGACGCCTCACCAGGAAAAGCGCCCAACCGGCCACTGGATGGCGGCTTAGCAGGGCGGAACTGAACTCGAAGCCATCCACGCAAGTGGAACTGCGCAGCCTTCGACGCAGTCACTTGGAGCCTTGTTGAAGATACAAGTCTGGTGAAAAACCTCATGGGCTGCCGTTGGTGGACGCCTTTGGAGGGTGTCTCTTTCGAACCACTATTCACTATGCTGTTCATCAGGTCCGGAGTGTTCCCAGTAGACATCCTATGACTCCATAGACTAACCCTGGCAGTGCTTCCCTATGTCCCGCTGTGAGGGATGGCTGGGCTGCACTCGTCACAGCTCGAGAGCCCCTTGTCGGCTCTTCACTGCGATCGCTTGCGAAACCAGGCCAGCAGGAGGCCTGGCGACATGACGTACCGTGACTGGAGATATGAAAGCAGCATTCTTGTTCAATGGCAAATAGGTTTTTGTCAGTGGAACTTCCGCCCCAGCGAACTTGGGAACTTGGGAAATCGGCGAGCACACTCTTGGAAGGTGAGACAAGACGGACCCGAACCGCGAGGTTCGCCCCTTCGCGGACGCGGGCGCTTCGAAAAACCACCAGCAATAACCGGGAAGGTTCGGCTCGGACGGAAGACACACTCCATGGGACTGCCAGTCCGGCCTTCAAAACGGCCAGGGGTGGTGCTGGACTGGGGGGGGTCAATGTATAGGCAGTCCTATGGCAGTCCCATTCGTCGTGTCTGATATTGGGCATACAAAAAAAGGAAACCCTGCTCGGTCCGCCCCGAGAGCCGAACCACACCCGAGAGCGAACAACCCTCGATCCGCTGGATTCGCCCGCCTGTGGCGGTGAGGAGCGTGAGGCCATAGAAGCCCAGCCAGCCGTCATGTGAGGCTCTCTCTAAGACCTCGAGCCGCGAAAACCCGCTGGAGGCTTCTCGGATCGTCCAAATTGATCGAAACTTTCCATATTGGGATACAAAATGGATCAACATGGTACACATATATTGTTCAAAGGTAAAGGTTTAAGATCCCATAAGAGATGAAATAGCAATCCAAGGAGATTCACCTAGCGCTTCGTGTTCTCTGCCATCGTTTCATTGTGAACGATGCAGAAGTCCCACGCTCGAAGCTTTTGTTGAAGTCCCATGCAAAGCCCACCCGTCAGACCGCTAGACCCTGAGCTTTCCACCACGGAGTAAAGCATTCTCGCAACACCTTGGTGTTTGAAATCAGCCGTGCCATCAGCTGATTGAGGATGCTGGAGGCATGAATATGGTGCCAAAGCACATTCAAAGGAAACATCGTTTTCAGGATTGACTCAACATTTGAACGTGGAATCTTCGGTTTGCCGAGGAAAGTGGTCTTCCAAGGAATGAAAGGACGCAACGTGAGGAGTGGACAAGGTTTTCATTCCACCCCAGAATCGCGACGATTCGTGGGGTTTGGACTTCCCACAGACATTGGGGTGATTAAAACATGTTGAAAAGAGGTCAATGAAAGACAAAACCTGTTCCAGTCCCATGGGACATCGTGTCTGGGCTATGAATAGAAGCCGGACGCTGGAGCGCCAGCTGACGCCAAGAACCCGAAGAATCCACCGCTCGCTGCTCGCCTGGTCATGACGCCCAAAACGGGGTTTGGACCTGCTTCCTCGACCAAAAAGGATCTCTCTTGGACTCCAACCCTTCCCAGAAGTAGCCACGGAAGGTTGAGGACCTTCCCACCCAAGATTGGATTTGGGGTTTCCCACCCATCTACATGAGACCGCTGGACGCTCCTCCTGCTTCCGGATTCCCCACAGCAGCCCGCCGCTCCCAGTCCGGCGGGTCCGTGGAGCCCAGGCCATTCTCCGGCTCCAGGTGGAGCCACACGTCGGCGGCCTCCTGGGCGTGGCACCGTGGGCCGCCGTGGCAGAAACGGACGTGTCGTGAAACGACGACTTGCAATGGCAAAACACACCAACTGCGACCCCTTTAGCCTTCACTTCTGGGCGTGTGTTTGATGTTTTCACGTCCCTGAAGGTCATGATGTATATAATTCCATGTCGTCTACTGTCTACATCACTTCAAGGTCATTACGTACGTCCGCCGCCCCACCCGACTCGCACCTTGGCCTTGGTATAGTGACCCAATTTCAGGTTCGCCAAGATGAGCTGATGTAAACACTCCACCCGACGGAAGCCCACCTGAGTCGATGGTGCCGATGCCGATTCGGCTTTGGTGCCAATGGGTTCAACAGGTGGTTTTTTGGCCAATGAGTTTTCGGTTTTGGATGGTTTCTTCATCTTCTTCCAGGGGGGCTCAAGCTGAGAGGTCGCCCTAGAAATAGGACACGCCCATGTCAAAGTGGTCTCCCTGGGCATATTCTTCCAGGATAAATGACCCGCACTTGGCTCAATGCATCTCAAAACAAACCATGACATGATGCACTGGTGCATCAAATGCCACTCCTGACGACCCTTGCACAAGACTACACTCTTTAACCAACGATGTGATCTGGCACACCTGATGAAGATAACAGCTCAATCAACCCATCCAGGCAGCCACCTTTCACGTCACCTGCACCTCTCGTCCGTTCCATCTGCTTCACCTCTTCCCTCCGATCGGGCCTCCACGAGCTCGTCAAGGAGGTCGACGGCCTCGAGCACGTCCTTGTACCTGCCGGTTCGGTGGGTTGGACAGGCCGAAAAGCGGATCCACAGCGACATGTCAAAGGTCCACTTCATCAGATAAGGTCCGGTTTCCAATGCAAAAGCGAAACCAGAAGCCCATACCAATGACCTGAACCCACGAGTGGTCCACCCAAGGGCAAACCGCCCTTCGATTGGCTCGTCTCGTCTTCACCCGAACTCGGCGTAGCTAGGTCGCGGGTCCCGCCTAGGTGAACAAGCCAAGGTACATGCGAACTCCCACCTTAGTCATTTTGACAGACACGCGTGGCAAATGTGCCAAGTCTGCTCGCGAGGCATCAACCAGAAGAACGAGCGCTGAAAGTGGTGAAGTCTGGCGATCAACAACAAGCTCTTGAAGCTTCCACGCTGGTTGGTTTGCGGCCAATGCTTGTTCTATCGCAAGAGTTAGAGAAAGCCACCAGCCCCACGTGGGAGTTCCAACGGGCGCCACGACGGCGTGGCACCCGTCACCCCTCGTGAGATCTCATTCTCCACCCGCCGAATGGCGGATCTATGCTTCCACCAGCAGTCACAAGACGGGGTGCCCAATACTATTGAAGGAAGTCGGGGTGCCTCTCTCGGCACATCCACTCACTTGTTGAAACAACAACACCCTCACAATGTGACTCCACCCCTACAGAGATCTCTTTTGGGACTTGTTTTTCATCCATGGTTCATCTCCAACAGCACCTCAACCTCTCTCCCTATCGCGTCATGACGTTCGAATGCTCCGGATATCCGTTCTAAAGGCGATGGACGCCAGCGCCGAAGACCCGAATAGCCAGCGTCCAAGCCAGTACACATATGACCTCCTAATATACATGAGCCTGATCAGCTTGCAAATGCGGGTCATGATCACTTCAGTTTCTAGACGAAGAACGATGTTCGTTCGAAGATGATCAGCGTCGCCAATTCGGATTCAGGGACCCTCCTGGCACCCCCACCAACCACCGATCCGGTCAGCGAGGCTACGGGTCCCACCGATCCGATCCCGTTCCGATCCCGATCCCCAGCGGCTGAAACTTCGGCGAGGGCTCTTCCTTCGCGACCTGCGCGTTCGGGACACAGCTGGACACACCGTATTTTGCTGGCGAGGCATTGGACATTCTGACATTCGGCGTGGCACGAAAGAAACTTTCCATATACATGAGGGACGGTCAAAACTCCGTGAGTCCTTATTCACTATCAAAAGTGGTCTTCGCATGTTTGGACTGTGGCTCACATGTTTTGTTTACATTGCCCTAGGGATCCACATACCTTCTCAGGAGGTACTTGAGCCCTCCAAGCCTACATAAATGGTCTCCGATCACCGTACCTGAGAAGGTACGACTGGATCCCTAGAGTTGTTTGACACCCGAGAAACATTCTGATTGGCTTCGAGCACCACATCGGGTCCTCCCGAACAACGCCATGTTCGAACGGATGGACCGAGGTCGTGGACGGGACCGATCTCAGCACTTGTGGACTTCGAAGTTAGACTTCATGATCGGTGAAACGATTCCCAAGGAAGCTTCTATGACATACTAGAAAGCTTCACAAAGACGATCAAAGACATACAGTATATTATAGAAAGCTTCTTGTAAGCATGCCAAAAACTATGACCGCAACTCTCCCCCAACCATCTCGCAACGAGCGAGAATGCCACACAAATGGCGGCACCTGAAGATCGTATTGCTCTCTCATGGCGTCGATCTCATCGAGGATCAAAGACCTCGTCGAGACAGCGAGAGACATTCGTTCAGACAGAGACATGATGGGAGGCGACAGGTGTTCCACCGAAAGAAGATCCTCGTAGGACCTCTTGGATTCATCGAATGGTCGTATCGAAAAAAGGTCACGCGCCGAAGTGCATGCCATCCTTCTTCAAGGGAACATGCGATCGATCCGATCTTAGTCAGACGGGCTCCTTTGGGGTGCACGAAAAGGACCAAAGGGGACGAGGGATGAGCAAAAATCAATGTGGGAGAAGGGATGGAGCATTTAAGCTTAGGTGCCCCAGGACAAGCACAAGTGCTCAAAAGCCAAGCACTATAAGGGGTGACCATCTCGTTCAACTAAACACCTGCCAAAACCATATCGCCTAAAACTGCCTATGAAACCATCTCGTTTGGTCCCCGTTCCCATCCTCGTCCCCACAGTCCCGGTCAGCTGCCACCAACTGCGGACCCGGGCGGATCCCAATCCACAGAGGTGTCCTCAGCATCAGTCCGCCGCGCGTAGACCATGACACGACTCTACAGGTCCCAACAGGCCCCTCAACTCAAGTTTTGGCCAGGAGGGTGCTGGTATGGAATATGTCCATTGATTGTCAGGTTTGAACCTCTTTCCCTGTCATGCTTCTGGCACGTGCTGCTTTGTCGAGCTCTCCATTTATTGTCCATTGTTATATGAAATACAGCTGGGACTGGAATCTATACGCTGATGAATTGATCCCCACCCCTGGCCGTTTCTCGGCCAATACGGCAGTCCCAGACGGGTTCCGAAACCGCTCATTCCGAAACCGCCTCCGTTTCTCGTCCGTGACGAGAAATGTGGCGCCCATATCTTCTTTTTTAACCAGCGTTCCGAGTTGGTGATCTTTAGGAGTTATAGTTTTTAAACCAGAAGTAAACACAGTTCTGCTTTAACCAAAGGAACACAGTTCTATCAGCTTGTCCAATATAGGATGATTCTGATAGAAGCACACTTCTGAAACCCAAGGACCCCCCAGTCGGGATGCTTCATGGACACCCCGAATGACCTATGAGGGCTATTAATGGACATCCGGAATCCGTGGTGCTGGCCATTGATAGATGATAGACTATAGATGATTCATACCAGGACCTTCCAAGTCCGGTGGTTTTTGGACACACCAACAAACCATCCTAGGCATTCCTAGGCCACTGAGAGGCTACTTATACCCTGGGAGTCAAAGACTATAAAAAGAACTGAAAGGGAACTTCCTTTACTTCGGCCGGTCAATATATAGTCGAACTGGACTTCTAGGGTATAGACACCTCTTGGTGTCGGTCCTGGTAGATGGTACAAACACATCGGAGACCAGCTCTTCTTCCTTCCCCCTGAGGCACCGTGCCATGGCGCTGACGCGATGCCGCGCGCACGGTCAGCAGCAGCTGCGGAGCCGAAATGGAGCCGTTTCCAGTTGCGGCTGAGCGTTGGGGTCGAGAGAGGTTCGGAACTAGCGCTATAAGAAAAACACCATGCCGAATCTATCTCTAGAACACCTTCACCTGCTTCGCAGATCGATTCCATTTGGATTCCGTACTTCGTGTTGAATCCTTCGCTCGGGTCGCCCGTTCTACCAGCCCCTTCGCCACGGCGCGTGACCAGCCCAACCATCGTCGACTTCGGGTTCCTTTTGGCTACACCGCGTGCACGCCCTTCTTTGGGGCGCAGACCGAGCAGCGCTGGACCGTGCAGCTCCGGCTGCTGCACCTCATCCAGCCGCAGTAGCTCACAGCGGCCCTGGAGGGCGGGCCGACTCCCACAAAGATTCGCCTGGAAGAAGGCATATGGTTCCCCAAATCCATTGAGCCACAAGGGTCTCATTCCAGGGGTCACAAGACGGGGTGGTGTTTGGTCCCATCCAGTGAGTGGATGATGTGACGATCGGGCACCCCAACTTCCTCCAAGTTCGGCACCCCGTCTTGCGACTCCTGGTTGTTCAACTGAAACACTGGAAAAGGGTGCAGATCAAGTTGGATGGTTTTTTCCCGTTTGAACTGGTTTGAGAACCAACAGGACTTCAGTTAGATGGATCCTGGAAACCTCGCCCAGGATAACGAGTCATTGAAAAAAATCCAACCGAAAGACCTCGGCGGAGGCGGGGGGAAACCCCTCCGTTAACCCCATCTGTTCCAGGGCACAGGAGGACCAACACGTGGCCGGCAATGAGGTAGCTGAGCACATGGTCCCGGTCCTTCAGCTGTTGTACAACTTCCCAGAGCGCCTGCGATCGATTCAGCTGCGATGCGATCGAACGTGTGAGAAACGCTGTTAGCTTCGCCGAAGGTCTCGGGTTGTTTCGGCGTGGTTTTCTTCACCTCATAAACGGCACGAGTGGCACTTCAGCACGTCCCAGTCACTGGTCAATGCCAAGATGGGCTCCCTGAGGATCAGTAGGATCATTTCCCTGGATGTTAAACCTAGAAACTCCAAACAATAGGAGTCTCCAGTCCACTTTCTCAACCCCATGCACACCAATTCGGTTTGTGGAAACACATCCCAGCTCGAACGTACAAAAACGCCTCCCCTTCTGCATTTCGATGCCCTTGTTTCGTTCGCCACGCGCAGGCCGCACCCCGCGTAACGAACGCGGCATGAGTTCTGCCTGGTACTGGAAGTGGTAGGGACTCATGGGCTTTCGGAAGAGCGAGAACTGCGAGAAGTCGTCCAGCAAGTCCTGACGACTTGAACCACGCATCGCTACTACAGGAGTGAAGGACGCTAAGTCGGACTTGACCACGCTTGAATCACTTCGGCCGCACATGGTCGGGGGTGCGCTGCGCTGCTCTTCCGCACGCCCGTCATGCGTATACGACCTGCGCGCACGTATGGAGTGGGGGGACAAGCCCAAGATCCACCCCACACATCTCCGTTCCTTTCGTCGCTGACGTTGATCGTTTAGAGAGCGGCTGAACCCTGGATTGATCATGATGGATCCCTTTGATTTGCTGCGCCGTGTTCCCAGGTGGATGACTTCTCCTGGCATGATGATACCCGAAAAGATTGACAAGAACAGAATCTTCATCTCCGAGTCTCCTGCAAGTCCTTGAGAACTCATATTCAATATTCAGGAGTAGCTACCTGAGTTCTTCAAGTTGAGGCAGCGCGCGCTCTTTCTTTTCCAACCTGCGTCAGTTACAGTAGCTCTACCGATAGAGAGCCACACCCCATCCGGCCTGCATCTCATTGAGCTTCCATCCCTTCCACGCGCTTGGCAGCAAAAGCCTCACCACCTGCCGTTGCAAACACAGGCACTCGGAGGAAGTCCGACGCCCACGGTTGATATCATTGGCTCCCGGATTGCCGTCTGGCTGCGAAGAATGTCACAATATATTGGCCAATTATGTTGATGTTCATCAGTGGAACTCCCAAATCAGTGCACTATAGTGTCTTCGTCAACTTATACTTTTTTTTTTACATCCCATGGTGCTTCCGTATCCAGTACAGGTGTAGCATGCTGGTCTCATCTCACCGCTCTGAAAACCGTTCGTTCTTCACTTCTCCGACCTTCGAACCGGTCGCGGAGCCGAATGGCCGAACCGGTGGGTCGTGTGAGGGGAGATATACGGCGGCTTCAGAGTGACAGGACGAGTGAATTCAGACATCGATCTTCCAATGTAGGAAGATGACTGAAACTGCATGCACTCTACCAGTATCCAGTCACAAAGCAAAGGGGTGCCGAACTTGGAGGATAAGGGTGCCCAACTGGGTGCCCATGATCCACTCACTTAGGATAGTCTGGTCTGGTCAACAGACACACAGACAAGCGCGTTTTGTTGCATCCTTGGATCCGTTCTTTTTCCTGGAAACATTCTTTTTCAAAGGTTTTTTTTCTTGTTCGGCTCCTTCTCAACATGTTAAAACATGTTATATAATAAACACATTTCATGGACCCCTATAAAATCATTCTGGCCTAAATCCCCCCGGCTCAGGTCTTAAAGGCACACGGGCTGGCGCGCGCCGCTCCCAAAGCTGTCGCCCAGTCCCGGCCGGTCCCGGTCCCGCCTCGAAGGGCAAGGACTGCTGGCAGAGATGCTCCGGCCGCTCGGTGCAGGCGCCCAGCGCGGGGAACTTCGCCTCGCGACGCGTCGTCCGTCTGACGGAGCGAGTTCCTTTGGTCTGGGGCGGTTCGGAAGCGAGACTAGGTCATGGGTGCAGGAAGCGTTGATGGATGGGTTTAATACACATGTAAGAGACTCTGGATTCATGAACACCCCCTCCTATATATACAGAGATGGGGGGGGGGTTGATAAGATCAAGCAGTCTACGCATTTTGGGCTGGAATCCCACAGTTCGGCCCTGTTCGTCCCTGATCCTTGCCGAGCTCGCCACCAAAAACCGCCTGGAACACAAGGTTTCGATCCTTTCGGCGGGGACAGCCTTGAGGAATCCTCGCCAGGAGTCCGGTTCTTCGACCATTAGAAACACACAAAAACGGTTTGATGTACGGTGATCCGAGTTCAGGAATGTCCTTGGCCATTGGGTGGGTGCCCCCTAAAAGATCCGTCAGGAGTCACCAGACGGGGTGCCCAATACTATTGGAGGAAGTCGGGGTGCCCGATCGTCACATCCACGGCCCCTGGATGGAACCCAACGTCACCCCGTCGAACGTGACCCCTGGAATGGTGTCATTCTTTTCACCCACCACGACCTTAGACCACCCCTTGCGGCAGTCACCGCAGGATCACCACATGTCGATGGATGTTGATTCGAGAGTTCCAGTGACCTCACCTGGCAATCGAATCACCCACCCACGCGGGTTCCGCTCGCTCCCCATCCCAGGAACCATGGATGTTTTTTTGGCACAGGAGAGGCGGAACCAACCAACCAGCGACCAACCAGGAACCAACAAACCTGTGTTTTCCGCTCGTTTGGGTTTCTTTCCAAACAGCAAACGAACGGACTGCTGCCGGTTCCTCCGAAAGTGCAAAAACACCGTTCCCCTCGTCTCTTCTTCTTTCCGCCGTTCCTCTCCGGGCGGCGTTGCCGGGGAAGTGCACGATGGGCGGCCGCGTCTGGGTGATTCGGTTCTCGATCCAATGCCTCGGGGAACCAGCAAACGAACGAGGAAGGGGCCGGTCCTGGGCCGGACTCGGACTCGCCGATGGTGCGAAGGGGTGGGGAGATGATTGTACACTTAAAACAATGTATATTAACTGCTAGCCTGGAAACGTGGAGAGCTACGTTTCAGGAACCATCAGCAAGAGCATCCGACACATCGAATCAGCAAACCCTCTTCGTCTTCCTCCGCCCACCTCCCCCCCTTCGACCTTTCCACACCGCCCCCCTCCATCCCGCCGTGGCGCGACGACGGCGCCGCCGGGTCCGCGCCGACGGCGAGGGCGCCGGCCGGTTGCCCGAAGGACCGCGCCAGCTCCGGCAGCTCCGGCTGAAGGCCCTGAATGCTGAAGGCGTTCCTCCGCGGGGTTCCGTCCGGCTTCCCCAGGAACGGCATCGGGTTCCACGGGTACGGTCGATAACGGCGTCGAAACGGAGGGTTGGTGGGGTGGGGTGGGTGGTTCCTTCTGGACAGGTGAGATGGCGCCAGTGATGCTCTTGTCGAAGCTGTCTGATAGAAACCAGTGTACAGGAGCAAGAACGAAGCTGACGACCTTCTCGCGTGCATTTCCCGTAGTCATCCGTAGTCTGTTCCTCTGATTCTACACATCCAAGGTCTGCGAAGAACCAAAGGCAAAACATATCCAAGATTATCCAAGAAAGTGCCGGGGACACTACAGTACAGCAACAACCACCACCAAAACCATTCCCAAACCCATACCAATCCACGTGTGGGGACTACTACCACTTGTTACCAGGAAAAAGAACCTTTCGTCAACTGCTCACCTTCCATTCCACCGGTACTGCGAAGGTAGCTACACTGACCCTCCCCACTCTCGGCCCCATTCACATGGCCCATATCAAACCCTTCCCAAAGAAACACATCTAGACACACGGGGAGAAGAGAGGCGGAAGAAAAGAGAAGTCCCTCATCTTTCATCCTTTCTTCGCCCAGAGTCATGAAGAGCTCCTGGCGATAGTCCAGAACTGCTAGATCAGGCTTGGCCAGGGTGAGATTGATCGCCCAGTCCTGCCATTTCCCCGGACGCTTCTTCGGACTTGCAGACCTCCGAACAGTCGAGTCTGTTGGGTCTGTTGGAGGTTCCACGGGGTCGACAAACAACAAGAGAACGAGCCCTTGACAACCCCCCAGAAAGTGTTAACGTGGAAAAAGACTCAAGTTTGAGCACCTGTTGACAGAAAACCATCTATCATCTCACTATATCGTGCTCTTTGTTGGTGTTATCTTAACACCTGCAAAAGCAAAACAATGCACAATGCACACCCAAATAC